ATGCGAAATAGCTGTTTCTTTGTATTAACAGGAATCTTTTGCAAGAGCTAAAAACTGGGTTAAAGAACTTCAGAGGCAAGCAAGTCCTAACATTGTAATAGCTTTATCAGGAAACAAGGCTGACCTAGCAAATAAAAGAGCAGTAGATTTCCAGGTATGTTGACATTTTCAATTTTTTTTTGTAGGCACATAGTGATTGTCGTGTTTTCTTATGTACACTTGAATTATAGAAAAACTAGATGAATGGTAGAAAACAGATTTTTAATGTTAGACAAATGTGATCTAGTATGTATAAGGAAATGTTTCTCCTGATAAGCCTGAATGTTGAAATCTTTTAACTGCCTTAATATATTAATGTATTTCAAATATTGTGGATATCTAAATAGTTACCAAAGAAATATTTGTTTGTTAAAATAGGTGCTGAAAAATAGGATGGCACTTCAAGAAGCTGCAGAAAATTTCTTTCTGTTCCAAACTAAGTTACAAAATGAATGAGCTCCTAACCCTGTTCTTCCCACTTTATACATTCTTTAACAAATGTCCTAACTGTTTTTATTCATCTACTAATAAGGGGGTGTGGTGGATTACACATCAGGCTGCTAATTGCAGGGTCAGCAATTTGAACCGACTGGGAGAAAGATGAGGTTTCCTGGGCCTGTAAAGACTTACAGCCTCAGAAACCCACAGGGGCAGTTCTACTGTGTCCTACAGGGTCATATGAGTCAGAATTGACCCGTTGGCAGTGAGTTTTGGTTTTGAATGTGTGTAATATATATCAGCATACATAAATGGACTCATAACCAAGTGATGATTCTTGGCATTGCATTCAAAAATGCAAAATTCAAATATCCAATTTGTATCTGTTCTCTAACTATAACATCCAGAATAGAGAAGGTACACTAGTTAAAAATAAGCCCTACCACCACCATCCCCAATAAAAGTAAACACTTCACTTTTTTTTTTTTCAGTAAGAAGTCTCCGTTATTAAAGTAGATTTTTCTTATATTATTGAATAAGCTAAGCAAATCCAGGTACTGATCTTTTAATTTTACAAAACAAAGTATTTCCACTTCTTTTCAACCACACTTGTTATCTCATTTGTCAGCTTTTCTATCAGAGAAGTCTGGTGTAGTCATTGTGTATGTTGTATTAGTGATGGACTAGTTTTCCTTTTCGAGAGTGCTAGCACGAGAGTAGAGTACATGTAAAGGGACCTGATATTTCTTGCAGCTTTATTTCTAAAGCCCAGCACTTCATACGTGTGGCTTCATTTCACTCTGTGACAACCTTGTGAGATCTAGGTGAGTGAAGGCTATACAGCTCGTCTTTGAATTTGAAATTAGACCCAAGTATCACATTTTACATTATACTATACTATTGGTGACATGATGGAGATTTTTTTTCCAATGGGACTATGTTCTGCATGAACCAAAAATCTTTTACCTGATTCCATCTATGAAGTATAATTTGTCTTTCCAAAACAATTATGTCTGTAGCATAGAATGGTACAGAGTCCGGTTACAGTGCAATGAAAGGTGGCCCTTTGTCTTAAATTCCAAAAATGGGCATAAGTGAAAATTACCATTGAGAGTGGAATATTTAGAATAGGGTGGTAATTTACTCCCCCTCTAGAACTAGTCAGTTGAAAGCAAATTTAATGAAAGACCAGCTTCATCACAGTGGGGTGATGCAAGGAGATATTAAAAGCCAAATTTCAGTTGCTGCCATGGTGATGCTAACTCATGACAGCCCCATGTGGAGAGTTAAATGCATCTCGTAGGGTCTTCAAGAAGTAGATTGCCAAACCTTTCTTCCAAAGCATATCTGGGTAGATTAAATCAATAAAGTGTTTAGTTTGGTGTCTCCCCGGGACTCGGTAATTGGTAATTGTTGCACAGTGGTTAATTTTAAGTATCCAAATTAGAATAGTAATAAGGAAGAAGCCTCTTTATTTTTCCTGAAACCAAAAAAGAGAATATATTCAGTGAGTATGTTTAATCTTTTTTGTTCTTCAAACAGGAAGCACAGTCCTATGCAGATGATAACAGTTTATTATTCATGGAAACATCAGCGAAAACATCAATGAATGTAAATGAAATATTTATGGCAATAGGTAAGATTAACTTGTTTTCAAATGATAAATACAAGCAAAACAAGGGACAAATTTTGTTTGATTTTTTTTTTTAAATGAAGTAGGTAAGCCAAATCTAACCTTTTTAAAGTGTATGATTCATTGACCTTAATTACATTCATGCAACCATCACCATATCCATTTTTACTTGTTTCTCATCATACAGTCAGTGTTCGTTAAGTAGTGGCGCCTCATTTCCCTTCCCCCACAGTGCCTGGTAAACCCTAATATTTGCCTCTATACGTTTGGCCTTTTGTGACTGACACATGATTTTACTCAGCATGATTTCATGTCTCCTCAGTGGGGTAGCATATAGCCGAATATTTTAAAAAATTCATAGCTGAAAGATAATCTATCTTGGGTAATTATAATTTATCCATTCACTTGTTTATGGACAATTGGGGCGACTAAACAAATGCTTGTTCCTTTGACTTCCATGCTTATACAACTGTTTTAGGTTCCTTCTACCTGGAAACACTTTGCTCATAATATTGTTACATTTGAGAGATCTTTACAATTAGGTTGTAATAACTTCTGTGCATTGAAAGCGTTGGCTTTGATCTAATGGTTTAAACAGATTTTCTGAAAGTTTAGAGGAAGAATTGGAATAAATTTTTTCTACTTGATTATGTTTTTATATCATAGAAAGATAAAACTCAAAGCACTATTTTTTCAATATAACATGTTGATGTAATGAGATATCTTTCTCACTGATCAGTAACATATTTTATCTGTTCTTTGACCCAAACAAATTAAAAACTTTGTTTTCAAAATTTTGAAATTAAACCAATTACAGAGAAATTTAACCCCAAAATACATAACAGATAAGTCTACAGATTGGCAATTTATTTTAGTGCAAGCATTGTAATGAAGGTACTCTCTCCAGTCTGGGGAAAACTGTTTCCTCAGCTTCTCGGAGCTTCTTGGAGATCTCGGAATGGTATGCCTTCCGGATGTGTGCTTGCTTCTGCACTTAATTGGCTGGTTCCCTTTATATCCCAAATGTGACCAAGCTAAGACCCACCCTACGCTTGTGCTGTCTCTGTAATATAAGAAAGAAGCCCCAGTCACAAGACTGGGAGAAGAGCAGCGACACAGGCCAACCCATAAGAGGAACTAAATCAAATAAACTGAATTATCCATCTGCAGAACAGATAGCCAGTCTTTTTTTTTTTTTTCCTGTTGATTTTCACAGTAAAAATATGGCCAAGTGCTTAAAAGTTCCTCATTCTAGTTTACATCACTGAAGAGCTGTGGCAGAGATTGTCAACCCCATGCCCTAATTATAATGCTGTATGTAAGGTTAGCCCACTCTTAGTCCTGGGTACTTATTGGGGTTTGCTTGGAAGTGTGTTATTACATTACCACACTATCTTTCCTAGAGATTCCCAGGGAGGTGGCTTAAGGTGAAGGCTTTCTGGCCAATGTATAATGCTCCTACTTCTCTGACACATTGTCCAGCACCTAGCATCCAAAAAGATGATTACTGCTAATGTGAAATATAGAGAGTATACCTCCAAAGTTGAGAAACAGAGCAGCTTGGCTAGCCATGTTTACAATCAGTGCTCTTAGAGATCATTAATATGACACTACTCTGAAAAACAAATCCAACATACGGAAGCTATTTAGGATCAAAGCAGATTACACCCACCAGATAAAGTTTAATGACCGAGAAGACTGGAGAACAGCCAGTAAAGTTTTGTAGAGCTTGCAAAGCTGAATCTGAATAACCAGGCTCATTCAAGATTGTGATCCTTTAGGATCAAGTACATAAATTAGGCACAACGACTGATGAAGTAGATTAGAGTCTTAGTCATCAAAGGGTAAAATGGTAGATATTTGAGGGATGGGAGGAAGGCAAGAGGAATCCAGGAAGGGTGTAGGAGATGTCATCTGTCATAATTTTCAATGACAATCAGGTTACAAAGAAGACTGGTTCTGTTGGATTGGTGGTGGCAGTGGTTATGGTATCTGTTTATATACTGATTTGTTCTGAAAAATATATATGGCAGACCAGAAGACAAGCCATTGGTCTGTGCTAGACATCTTTCTAAGCCTCGTTATTAGCCATTATCTTTCTGAGCAACTGACCATTAAAAAAATAAAAGAGCATTGTATTTTTTTAAGAACTTTCTGTATGGGACTATACATTTTTTAAAGTAACCTATATAGGATCGAGTTGACAACACCAAACAAATCCAAAACTTGGTTAGGGCCCATAGAGGGCAATGGTATGTTAATAGAGGAACAACAACTCAAAAGGGTGTGGCAGTGGGTGCACCGCTTGAGGAATTTCATCATTAGCACCAAACAGTACGTGTAGAAACTGTTGAGTTGCTGTATGTATTTTCTACAACACCAAAGTAAATAACTTTTTAAAAGATAATGATGATTTAATAGCGGACTTTGGTGAACCAATTTAAAGTGAAGTTTGCATCATCAGAACATGAAAGCTATTGGTTTACATATATTGAAAACAAAAATATCTTTGTTAACTTAGATTTTGTTAGAATGGAAACATTAATGTATTATCAAATAAAGTAAAACTTTTATAGTAGTCTGGAATAAGCAGCATATCTGTAAAAATAACTCCTTACATCTCTAATCAAGTTCACATTCAACCATGTGTCTGTAACTGGCCCCCTCCAATGCACACCCCCAAATCAAACTACCTACAATCAGCAGCCTTTAAAGATACTCAGTAAACATTGGAGGAGAATGAATATAAATAATATGATACTTTGAGGTGATCTAAAGGTACAGAAAGGCTGTTTTATATGAGCAAATGGGAGTTTTAATGTATCCTAATTCTATTTCTTTTTGGTGACTTGTCTGTCAGCTAAAAAGTTGCCAAAGAATGAACCACAGAATCCAGGAGCCACGTCTGCCAGAGGAAGAGGAGTAGACCTTACTGAACCCACACAGCCAACAAGAAGTCAGTGTTGTAGTAACTAAACCTCTAATCTGAACGAGTTGGAATATTCTTCTGCTTCCTAAATGTTAACAATGGAATTGGAGCATTTACCCAGCCCAGTATGACTTCCAAAAAGAAGAGACTTATGATAGAGTCATTTCTAATACAAAATTATTTTAACTGTTTTGAACTTAATTTTTAATAACATGCATGTGTCCCTCTGAGTAAAGTTTCAGCAATAGAAGGGGAAAGTAAGAGCTGTGTATACACTTGTTTTGTTGGAAGCTGATGGGGGGATCATTTATCAGTGGGGACAGAAAAAGATATGACTATATGTACCCACAGTTAACCAGCCAGTTATTGTAAACTGGTACCATATAGTGGTCTTGGAGAAAGATTTGGAACTTAACTGATTTGGGCTTTTAAAAAAAATTCTCTTTTTAGGAGACTCTAAGATATTTATGCTTAGCTACAGTATTCAGGCAAATGATAATTTCTCCTGGTATCTGTATTTAAAGTACACATTCCACATTTTAATAAATTAGCCACAAGAACACAGTCCCACATCTTCAGTGGGAAAAGTCCACACTGATGGCATACTGTATTTAAGTTATAGCCTGTCATTTCTTAAATGGTGGTTTAAAACAGTCAAAAGTAACCCATCTTGCTTTAGAAACATGAGAGCTAATAAATGCAGCTTGATGGATAGTGTTCCCTTCATACATGTGAGGCCGTCAACAGAAGTGAAACAGACCAGGTGTCTGTGATTTCAGTGTAATCACTGCTGGCCATTTATGTAGGTGGTTTTGTGTGAGGGCAGGGAGGGAGCTTGTTCCCTTTGGACATAATATAGTCAATGCACTAACAATTATGTACATTCAAACTTGATTATTTTAAATTCATTCTTCAGATGTACTGTAAATAGGGTACTGCATTGTAGCCTCCATATATGTTTAATACTTTTCTGTAATATTTAAGGGTTGCTTACAAGTATACAAATGTACAGTTACTAAAACAGCTAATTATTTCCTTCTCTTCCCCCTTTCAATGGAAGGGGCTTCAGTTGCTCCTACACTGCTAAAACCATAATAAACGATGTATCTGTAAGTTGTAACATAAGTATTACAAAGTTAGTAAAAGCTCTTTCAGCCAGCCTTGTTTTCCAAAGTTCCTTTTATTTTGATCAGTTCAGTATGTTGCACTAATTCTTTTAGTTATTCTCATTGTATGAAAGCTACCATGTGTCAGAGATGATTTAAAGTATTTAAGTGATGAACTGCTAGCAGAACTTGTACATTTACAGTAATTCAGAATTAGTCAGGACAACAGTTCACCAGTGTTTAGTTTTATATTGAGGTGCTCAGGTTTGAATAAAGTGGTATAAACAGCAAGTATTGTTTCTTCTCTCATTCTTGACAGGAAACAATGAACATGCATACGCATGATTATGTAACTTAAAATCTGCTTTTTTTTTCATTACTATGTTCTTAAATATGACTTACATAATATCAATGTATCCTAATCCCTGGTTCATTGGAGACTTTGCCGTACATCATTGCATTCTGGATAATCAGAACATTATGTAAGCTGATACTCGCTTCCACTGAGAAGTATTACCATGACTGTAATGTTGTCTCTGGAGCCAGCTGCTAATGCAGCATTTACAAGCTCCTGGCTAACATACTTAGCTGCACTTTCATAGAACATATCAATTTGTGCTTCTGTTATTTTATTTGATTCTCTTTTCACTCCAAGTGCACTGACTTGTTCACGAGTGCTTTTCCGTGTGAAAGGTTTATGCTTAGTTGATATTGGTAGAGATGTTTCTAAGTTTTCAAGGTTACAAGTGGATTTCTCAAAATTCTTAGAATTTTCTTTTGAAGTGACTGCTGACACAAGTTCTTTAGAAAAAGACTTAAATTGATACAATACGTAGATACTGCTTTCTGGTTCCATAATACTTGTTTCACTGAGTTTCCATGAGGAAATTTTGTTTTGTGCAGTCAGGTAATTTTCCTTATATGTGTCAAGAATTGTCATTGTCAATGTAATAACTTCCTTTTCATCCAGAACTTCCCAAAGTCCATTAGTCGCTAGGATAAGGAATTGGCATAAGTCATCTATAGGAACTGAGATCGTTTGAGGGGCTGGAATCAAGGAATTTTTCAGTTTGAAATTTCCATGAAATCCAAGTCCTCGTGTGGTTTTTGTTTGCCCTTCCAGGAGCCCCGTGGGTTCATTGGCATCAATGGTGGCGCCCATCTGAAGTACTCTTCTTCTCTCCAGTACATTTTGCGTGGTGTGGTCTTTGGTTAAGCAAAATCCCTTCCCATTTCTGCATAAAACTCCTTGCACATTCCCTAAAAGATGTTTAAGAAGAAAATTTTATCCTAAAGATATAATAACCAGTTGTATCAAAATATGCTTTTAATTTTACCAATTCTGTTTTTCATTGTATAGAAGAAGCAGGGTTTATAATAAAATAAAGCCAACCCGTTGGCCATGAAATGAATTCCAACTTACTGTAACTGGGTTTCTGAGACTAAAATTTTACTGGAGCAGACAGCCTCACTGTTTCCCTCACAGAGCAGATCTGGGTTTGAATTTCCGACTTTGCCAACAGCAGCCCAGCACTTACCTGACAGCCCGACCAGTACTCTACTAACTAAAGTATGAGTTATGAAAAATTGAAATGAAAAAAAAATTATTTTAACATGCAAAATATTTTTCTTTACTTGAAATGACACTTTTATAACTAGCATATATATAGATATTTATTCTATATATATCAGAGTAGATAAATATAAACATTTGAATGAAAACAAAACTCTTGATAGTTAAAAACAGTGTAACCACTTTAGCACTGGTAAAAGTTGAAATCTGAACTTAGTTTGATCATTAGTGATGAAAACATTAGGATTATCACTGTTAATGCCAGCCATTAGGCTCCTGTAATTGTGGTTAAAATTACATTGATTTCCATGTTAATTTTATTTAAAATAATGTATAATCATGTATTAAATGAATACTACCTAGTTAACATGAAATTAAATCCTTTAGTTGAAAATTTAAGTTGTAGTTTGTTCTTTACGCAAATCTGTGGTGTGTGCTCCATTGAAATTTTTAAAGAAAATCTGAATAATGCTTTCAATAATGTAGTGATTGTACTACTTAAGCTATCTTTGGGGTTTTGTTCTTTTTTTAGGAAAAACTTTGCCTATTTTTATTAATATAATTGTATGTTCCACTACAGTCTTTCTTGATGTAAAATTGTTTGTCTTTTGTAGAATGGAGTTAGTGATGTTTAACTATTAATCACTTTATTTTAGAATTAAAGTTATAGTAGCTACGTAGAATATAACCAGTTTCAAAGATGATTTTGTAACTAAAATCAGAATCACTTAAAATCACAGAATTTTTTTAGGTAAATGAGTCCTGAGGTCCAAACAACTAGTGATTCAGAAAGGATATAAAATTGTGAAGCACAGATCAACTGATTGACTTACATGCAGAGTAGTATTACTTTAGATGGGTTATAACCCAATAATGATGTCTAGCAGGAAATTTTTTGGAAACCTGAGAACTATGTAAATGGCAGTCCTAAAACTACATGACTTTGCTCATATTTTATATTTGTCTATTTTGTAAAATATTGTTAACATTTTTGCTGGGTTTCCAATTGCTACTGCAAAACTTTATGGAATTCAACATGCCAATAAGGTAAATTGTGAATTGTTGTACACAGACATGTGGTATAATACCTCTTTAAATAAGAAAATGCCTTATGAGTGTATATGCATATGAATAGTGCAGCCATAATTCTGAAACCCCAAGGCATGTACTTTGGCTCTGAGAATAATCAAATCCATTTGACTTTCTAAAAAGATTTGCATATGGCAAGTCAACAGCCCACTCAGCAGAAAGAGGACATTGTTTCTTTGATGTGTGATTTTTTTTGTTATAAATATGTTTTAAAAGTTGCAGTGGAAGGATGGGAATGGTTATTTTGATTGTTATCACTAAAAACATGATCAATGAAGCTTTTCAAAGTATTGGCTATTTTTTTTTTCTCGTGTAAAAACAAAGACCATTGCCATCAAATCAATTCTAAATCAGTGGCTTTATAGTACAGAGCAGAGCTGCCCCTTTGGGTTTTTTAACAGGAGTAGAAAGCCACATCTTTCTCCCAAGTAGCGGCTGGTAGATTTGAGTTGCTGACATTGTGGTTAACTGCCCAATATGTAGTACACTATGCCTCCAGAGTAGTAGAGAGTAGAAAATGCCATTTTTGCTCACTTTACCACTTCTGAACACCCCTTTGATAAAAGTTACTAGAAGGGACATTAAATCTTAATTGAGTTCTTATTTTATCATTGGCTTGTCTGACTTAAAATTACTTACTATAATTTATCACTTAAAAAAGAGACAGTTTGGGGCTGGCCCCAATCCCAACTACATGGACCGACATCCCCACTTCTCTCTCCATAAGAATTCACTTCAGAGGACAGCACTGAAACTACAGCTTAGGGAGAGGGGTGCATCTGATCAGAGAACACAGGAGCAAACAGAGAAGGGAACATATCCTGGCCCACCAAGCCCTGAGGACGATATTTCTGCTCAGAGCAGCCAATGCACAGAGGACCGTAGGGCCGGCCCCACCACGAAACAAGACATCCTTCACTGACCCAGAGTGCTGCGGGGGATAGCATTGCGAGGAATTGTGCCTTATCTGACCCCACCACAACAGGGCAAAATTCTAAGGGCATTCAACAGAGCATCAAGGGGAGCAAAGCAATAAAGTCCCAGGGAATATAAAAAACAGACTTTGGGGCCAGGGCATGGCACCTCATCAGACTCAACTGTAAAACACTCCTAAAGGTCAACAAACAGACCTGGGACTATATAGGCCTTTTTTTTGTCATTGTTTTCTGTTTTTGTTTTTGTTTTGTTTTCTTTTGTTCTGTCTTGATAGCGTGCTTGTCATTGTCTCTGCATGTCTATCTAGATAAGATAAACAGGATAAACAACCAGGAGGAGGTTTCAACCAACCCAGGGACAAGGGAACAACAAATGATCTAAAATCAGTGATGAGGAGGGTATAAGATGCCTGGCGGGGCTTGATTAAGGGTAATGTAGCCGAGAGGAATTACCGAAACCCGAATAATGAAGGCTGAACATAGTGGGACAAGTGGAAAGTAAAAGGAAATAGAGGAAAGAAAGTATTACGGTAGCAGATGGACATTGGACCTCAATGCAAGAGCACTGTTCTAATAACCTGGCATTCCATGATGCTCACCTTTCCGACACAGTTGCTGAAGACAAAGTGCATAAGCAAATGTAAAGTATGCGATGGTGCCCAGCTATCAAAAGATAAAGTGTCTGGGGTCTTAAAGGCTTGAAGATAAACAAGCAGCCATCTAAAGTCCACATGGAAGAAGCACACCAGCCTGTGTGATATGAGGTGCTGATGGGATAAGATATTAAAAAATACTTAGAACAAAAAATAATATCAATGGGAATGAGGGGGAGTGCGGAGTGGAGACCAAAGCCTATATATAGACAATTTGACATCCCCTTACAGAAGGGTCACAAGGAAGAGACGAGCCGGTCAGTGTCCAGTATAGCACCGATGAAACAACTTTCCACTAGTTCTTTGATGCTTCCTCCCATCTACTATCATGACCCCAATTCTACCTGATAAATCCAGCTAGACCAGAGCGTGTACGCTGGTACAGGTAGGAGCTTGAAACACGGAATCCAGGACAGATAAACCCCTCAGGACCAATAATGAGAGTAGTGATACCAGGAGCCAAAGAGGAAGGTAGGGGAAGAAAGGGGGAACCCATCACAATGATCTACATATAACCACCTCCCAGGGAGATAGACAACAGAAAAGTGGGTGAAGGGAGACATCGGTCAGTGTATGACATGAAAAAATAATTTATAAGTTATCAAAAGGGTTCATGAGGAAGGGGAAAATGAGCTGATAACAAGGGATCAAATAGAGAATGTCTTGAAAATGATGTCAACAAATGTGTGTATGTACAGATTGTGATAAGAGCTGTGTGAGCCCCAAATAAAATGATTTTAAAAAACCAAAACTGATGGTGGCAGCAGTTGTACAATTATGCTTGATCTAATTGAATTATGGATTGTTATGTCTGTAAGTGCTACCAATAAAATAATAAATGAAGCAAGTAGGGCATTGAAGTAGTAAGTACCCTATATACTCAACTATAAGCCAAGTTTTTCAGCACATTTTTTGTGCAGTTTTTATGGTAAAATTAGGTGCCTCTGCTGATATACAGGCCAGCTTGTACTTGAGTATACAGTGAACCCTCGTTTAGCGCGGTTAATCGGTTCTAGACCCTACCGTGATAAATGAAATTCCATGAAGTAGGATTCCTTATTTGTAAATCAAATATTTTCATAGTTAGAGCATAGAGGACATGAAAAAACACCCTTTAGTCACCATTATACTCGTATTACCCAATTTATTAAACGAAAAAGGGAAAATACAGTAAAACATTTTGGATATTACAATTATCATTTATTATTTATTATATTATTTATGGCATCAAGCGTGTGCAGTATGAGCCAATCAGTGGCAGTAATGACAGAGCATGCGCTGTTACCCAAAAACCGCGATAGAGTGAAGCCGCGGAAGTTGAAGCGCGAAGTGGCGAGGGTTCACTGTATACTGTATCTATTGGTACATCTAAAATAAATAAAGATCCGATTTGTAATGCTGATAAAAAAGAGCTGCCCCAACTACAACTTCATGTAGGAATGAATAGTCAATCCCGTGGGGGAGAAAAAGTGAAGAAGTAGCTAGAGTTTCTCAACTATTTATGAATATTATTCTGGGCCATTTAACCCATTGTTGTCAGGGCTATTCCAATTCACACCTAACCTACCAGGATGGAGTAAACTGCCACATGGTGTTTTCTAGGCTGTAAGAGATTGCCTTTTCTTCTGCTGGGCAGAGCAGCTGGTGGATTCAGCCTGTAGGTGCATACTTGACAACTGCCACCAGGGCTCCTATAAACCCTGGCAATACAGGATAATAGTAAAATGCAGGCCCTGCCAGAGTACTAACCATTAAGTCTATTCCAATTCATGAGACACTAGGACAATAGAACTGCCACTGCTGAATTTCTGAGGCTGTAAAGCTGCATGGGAGCAGAACACCGTATCTTTGTCACTTGGAGCCATTGGTGGGCTCAAAGGGCTTCCCTTAGAGTTGGCACACCATGGAACCCACGACATAACCAGCGCTCATGCTTCTGCTGGTAGGAGGTGTGAGAGGGGGGCCGGGATGAGATTTGCTTCCAGATGTTTGGCTTGCCGAAAACAGGATGTTATAAATAGGGTGTTAAAGGCAAAGTACGCTGCTTGGTTGAAAGCTAATAGGATGAGTGTAGGCAACAAGGGAGATAGGAAATTGGGGGGAAATTTTTAAATAATCACTGGTAAGTAATTTGGTGGACCGAAGGAAAAGAGAGAAGCCAATCCTTAATAGTTTTAAGAATAATTTTAAAAAGGAAGTTTCTTGTTGCCTCTGTGTAGGAGATGAGAACAGCTAACGGAGCAGTGAACTGTGTGATGAATCTGCATAAAGGAAAATTCAAAATTTCTAGAAGCAAATTTATGCACTGCAGTTAATTGACAGAAACGGAAGAGGGTTACTAGAAGAGCCATGTAGTTAGCGACTAAGTATACATAGGGATTAAAAACTGCGCTGTTCTCAAGCCTTATGTAGTTTTTCTGATTTGGGTGAAAGTTTACAGAGCAAATTGGTTTTCTGTTCAACTTTTACACATTTTGTGACATTGATTACAATCTTCACTCTGGACCAGCTTTCTTCCTACTGCTTCCCTATGTTTCCCATGTCCCTTCTTTGCTCTATCCTGTTGCCTCCTGCCTTCTGAGAGTAATCCCTGGGCAGTTCTGCCCTTTTGATCTCATAGAGACTTGTACTTAGCGCATTCCTACTACCCTGGAGTCATTGTTCATCCTACAGGCCTTTCTATCATTAGAAAGTTGAGCAGTGGGGTTGAGTTCAATTACAGGCCTGAAGAGTCACCAAAGACAAATAGAAAACTTCAACACCTTAACAAGAAAAAGGTAATCCAATTTTTAAATGTGCATAGGACATGAGCTGATATTTCGCCCAAAAAGACATGGAGTTGAGCAACAAACGAAGAAATGCTTATGGTCCTCAGCCAATAGAGAGCAAAATCAAAACAACAGTGAGCTCTCATCTCACCCCAGTATAAATAGTAAAGCTAAAAAAAAAAAATAAGGCAGAAAACAACAAATGCTGGTGAGGGTGTGGAGAGAAGAGGGAAGCTCACACTGCTGGTGGGACTGTAACATGGTGCAACCGCTGTGAAAATGGTGTGGCTGCCCGTCACATTTTTGAAATAGACATGTATGGCCCAGTAGTCTCTTTTGTTGGTATCTATCCCAGAGAACCAAAGGCTATGGCACTAGAAGATAAGTGCATATCTATATTTGTTGCTGCACTATTCAAAATAGCGAGAAGATGGAAACAACCTAAATGTCAGTCAGTGGAAAGATACATACAGAAACTGGTACACATAATGAGATAATACATAATGTTAAGGAACACTGGTGAATCTATCAAACACTTCATAACATGGCTGGACCTTATGCTGAGTGAAATTAGTCAACCACAAAAGGACAAAATTTATATGAGGTCAGTACTCTAAAAAGTGAAACAAAGGTTTTCATACTAAAAGAAATATACTTTTGTTATGGTGTGCTAAATTTACCTACTTTAGTTCATGTTTGCTTAGGTAGTCATTGTGTCCATAAATTTGTATATTCTGGATTTTCACATTTGCTAGAGATAGTTCTTCATAGGATTTAATTATTTTCTCTTTCTTTTTAGTTGGGATGTTGCCTATTCCATTTTTATGTGTGTTATTTACATCTTTTTTCTGGTGTTAGATGTGCAGGTGGCTTGCTCGTGTTATTAACACTGTCATTTATACACACTACTGCAATAGCAGCACAGATATAGGACTAGACATGCAGTCTGAATGGGTATAGGAAAGAGGGTGGAGAGTGTGGAAGAAATGTGTAGAACAAAATCCAGAATCAGAAATGAGCAGGCTTACTGCTTATATAGAAACGTGTGAAATCCCAGCTGGATCAGAAGGGCATCTATCATCTAGGGATCTTGACCTTGTAATGGTCCTCATGATGGTCTGAACTTTGCAACACCATCTCTGGCACAACACTGACCACCTGACCCCAACCTCAGGCTTTACGGGAAGTAATCCCCTTGAGAGGCTCCGTGATGATGCAGTGGGCTTACTCTCCAGCTCCAAATCCTGTTACTTCTGATACCTTGAAAAACTTTTTTAAAAATAATTTTATTGGGGGCTCTTAGCACATTCCATCAGTCCATTATGTCAAGCACATTTGGACATATGTTGCCTTCATGATTTACCTTGAATAACTTATCTTGCTTATCCAAGCTTCCCTTTTTCTCATCTCATAAAATGGAGTTAACAATATTCAATTATCATTAGATACTAGGATTTTTGCAAGAGTAAACGAGAATTGGCTGTTTTCATGGACATTACTGCCTGTCCTCAGAAAGTAATGCTCTCTTCTCGGCCTGCTGGCCCGAGGGAAGCCTGGATATCCATCCCACCCAGCTCTGATTGGATGACCAAGAGTCAAACACAAGGCAGAGGTAGAAATCTGAGGATAGAGGAGATAGGAATATACTATGGACCATACGAAAAACAAACATCTCCTGGAAGAAATATAGCCAGAGTGCTCCTTTGAAAGGAGGATATATCAGTTCTTATCTCACAGATTTTGGCTGTAATAACAAGAGGGACCAATCCCTGGAGAAGGACATCATGTTTGGTAAAGCAAAAGTTCAATGAAAAAGAAGATTCTTAACAAGATGGACACTTTGGCTGCAACAGCGAATTCACACACAGGAACCATTGTGAGAACGGTGCAGGACCAGCCAGTGTTTTATTCTGTTGTACACAGGGTTGGAACAGACCCGAGAGCTCAGAAAACAGGTTCCAATAAGATGAGAAATACCATATTGGGAATATATGACTATTAACTAGACAGTATTAAGAAATTCATTGTCATAGTTAAAATTAGGCCTTCAGGTTTTTTTCCAAGGCATACTGAGCTGCTGTAGAGTATGGGGGGAAAAGGAGGGGAAGAAATGACACAGGTGGGCCAAGGGACAATGAAAAGGTGGTCGGAGAAATGGATGAGGGGATTGTTGGAGTGGGAATTTTAGAGTCGAGCTGGAAACCAGAGGAGCTGATCATCAGAAAAGGAACTGTGTAAGAGTGGATGGCTAGAGTAAGGTTCAAGTGATGGCAGAGTATCCAATTGAAAAGAATGACTAGGGACAATTTAAAATTAAACACTAAAAGGTTATAAAAGTGTACCAACACAATCTCAATGGCCTATCGCTCATCCACAAAGAAAAACAGACTCCTGATAACATGCTGCAGCATGTCTGATTCTTGGGAACATTATGCTGCAATTAGTCCCCAATGCACAAATGTTCCATGATTCCACTCAATAAAATGATCTGAAATACAAGTACAGAGAGACCCAAGTGGTTCCCAGGGGAGAACAGGCGGGATGGGAGCGCGGGACTCACAGAAGGGGACACAGCCAACTTCTGGGAAGGCTCCTCCGGACATTTTGGAGTGGGCAATGGTAAAGGATGAACAATGTGATAAAATGACTCCTCAATGTGACACATGATAAACGTTTCAAAGGCAAACAATCTGATGTATCTATGTAAGGCTCTTAACAGTTTGTGGGGGGGGGGGGGAAATTCCATTGTCTTTTAACTTCATTTTCTCATGAACTTTGGGAAATACCCTCTTAGATCCTCAATAACAAAAGAAAGAGAGTCCAAGAGAATTGCTAGGCATTGTAGCACTAGAATACAGCCTAGTTTTAAATCTTCATAGAGGAACGAACAAGCAACTAACTGCAAGAGGAATCGTACTTGAACAAAGCTTCTTCACTCTAGTGAATGTTCAAATAAACATGTTTAATAAATAAGTGTCATGAAATCTGACTACTGCAATGGTAGTTCCTACAAAAACTTAATGAAATGTTACTCAGAAAGGCTAACCAAAAGAATTTTTAAGACCACAAGGAATTCGGTTCCCAAGCAAAATCCCTGATCAGGTCAGATAAGAACAGCTCCTCAATGAAACATACAACTTTCCTCTAGTCCTTTAATGCTTCCTCCCCCGCCCCCACCCCATCCCACCCCCACAGCAAAAAAAGTCGGTGAAGGGAGATGTCTTGTCTTTATGAATATCTGTCTAGATGGTCCACTTGGAAAATTTAATGGTTTTAGTACATTATTACGTAGCTCTACTTCCTTGAGAAGTCACACTTATTGCTTGCTGTTCCTGCAATGTGCATACTAAACTATGATTATTTATAATTTCTAAAACCAGTCTATACAGTTCCTAGGCACTAAATAATAAGTGACTACATACTTTTGGTGGCAAAGGGAGTTTTGCTGAATCAAAAATGTTCAGGTCTTATCTGGCACTAGTTAATGTACATACCAGTGTTTGCAACGTGGAGTACTCCAGAAACTAACGGTGGCATCTGCCTAAGCAGGGTGTTGTCCATCGAACCACCTCCACCAAGGATTCTTTTCCAGTGGGTAAAACGACCTTTGATCTTGCCTTCCAATAGACAAGTAAGTGCAGAACAGCCACTCCAGTGGACTCTGGACTCCTCTTTCCTTCCAAGATGTAAAAGCCTATCCATTCTCCAATATGCTTTTGCAAAGGCTTTGTGTATGCTTTCATAGTTTGAGAATAAGAGTTTTGTCCTTTTCTGTGCAGAAGAGAAATTGTTTTCCATTTTTATGTATTCTTCACTAAACACTGTTTGAAAAGAGTTGATTACTTTTTGCTCTTCAGGGGTCATTTGGTAGGAGGGATCAAATATGGACATTTGATGGAGAAGTAAAAGCGGAAGTTCCACTGATGCCAAATTGGCTGCCGAGGCACCATAATGCCCATCAAATAAACCAAAGAGGCACACGTTGGGCTTCTTGCCAAAGTTACTCACGATAGTGAATTTATCATCCATGGTAGCTCTCCATGTGGAATTCCTATCTTCACAAGTGGCTATTCCTTTAACCAATGCATGGTTTATGTTTTCAGGATATACGGAACTCATGTCAATGCTTTCCATGATTTTATAATATGCTGGTATGCTTTTCTTCCATAGTAGCTCAAATGCATCATTAATGCTCTGTAGAGCTTTTTCATTGAACAGAGAATAAGACAATAGTTTCATAATTAGAACATTTCTCTGAGTAATGAACTCTGGTCGCTGTGGTTTCGGCTCAATCAAAGAATGAAACCCCAAGGAAGTCAGAGCTTTGTGTTGTCTCTGATGGGGGAAAATGCTAGGTAGGTCCAGTTCATTATTGCATATGGAACAGGGAAATGTGATCACTCGCTTAGAGGCCTGCTTCTGATCACGGTCTTTATCTAATAACCTCTTCTTTCTCTTTCTCAAACGTTTTCTTTTGGTTACAATTGAGGTCCTATTCTTTGAACGAAGCGTTTTCTTTTTCCATGCTTTTGATTTCCAATACACTCTGCAAAGAAAACAAAAGATGTTGACATGCCAGGGACAATGAATTAAGCTTTCTTCAAGCAGACTCTTCCCATTGCAATTTGCTCTGGAGTTTCATGGGTTATAGAGCACTACAGTTAAATGAAAGTGATTTTAAAAGCTCCTGGGAAAATGAAATTAAGAGATAATGAAAAATGCCCACAAAGTGACTTATGCCCCTTTGTATATACATAGGCAAGCCCTGGTGTTGCTGTAGGCTAGTCATTGGGCTGCTAACTTCAAGGTCAGCAGTTCAAATCCACCAATTGGTCCATCAGAGAAAGAGGAGGTTTCTACTTTCAGAAAGCTTGACAATCTCAGAAACCCTAGATAGGATCACTCTCTGTCACAATTGTCTCTGTCAGTGATGTGGGGTTTTTCGGAGTATCTAGAGTTAATATTTTGACAGAGTTTATATGGAGATAAAATTTAGTCAGATCCAGCTATTTGACCCAAATCGCCTTGAAACAAATATCAATGAATCAATAATCTGATGATTAATCTGTGTGTGTCTGAATTAAATTATAGGCCGAGCTTCCCCAAAGTCAGCTAGGTATTGAAAAACGTATACACGAATTTGTAGAATATCTAATCCCAGGGATGTGAAATTATATGCTTAGATGTAGAATTTTGACGTAAAGCATGGGGGTAATTACTTTGTACTATATTTTGTGGCCAAAAAGACTTCTGTTCTAGTTAAGAAGTTGGCAAAGACATGAATGGGCCGTGTCAAAATTTAAGTAGAACAATGAACATAATCCATAGTAGACACAGGGTGTTTGGGTTTTGTTTTTAACAATAGGGAAGAGGTGTGAACTGAGGAAAAGAATGAAAAGATACGAAGCTGGATGATACATTTCTAGAACATAGACACCCTTCACCCTTTCTAATGCTCCCGATCAGAAGTATCTAGCATAGAGCGTTTTTTGCATCTGTTTTCGGCTACAGACATAATTTGTAGGGCATGCGTTCTTTCCGAGTACCTTTGGAAGGGTTCAGGAGCCCCGATGTTGTTGTTGTTGCTGTTAGTAGGCGCCATCAAGTTGATTCCGACCCACAGCCACCTTATGCACAACAGAAGGAAACACTGCCAAAGTCCTGCAGCATCCTCACAAGGGTCCCTATATTTGAGCCTATTCTGGCAGTCACTGTGTCAGGCCATCTCCTTGAGGACCTTCCTATTGTTTGCTACCCCTCGACTTTTCCAAACATGACGTTCTTCTTCAGGGTCTGGTCTCGCCTGACAAGTCCAAAACATGTAAAGCAAAGTCTTGCCGTCCTCGCCTCTAAAGAGCACTCTGGCTGTACTTCTTCCAAGACAGATCGATTTGTCCTTTTAGCAGTACTTTGTCTATGGTACTTTCAATATTCTTCTCCAGCACCACAATTCAAATGCTTTAATTCTCTATCAGTCTTCTTATTCAATGTCCAGCTTTCACATGCATATGAAGCAACAGAGTATACCACGGCTTGTGCCAGGCACACCTTAGTCCTGGAAGTAACATTCTCGCTTTTCAATACTCTAAAGAGGCCTTTTGCAGCAGGTTTACCTACAACGCTCTTTTGATCTCTTCACTGCTGCTTCCTTGAGCGTTGATTGGATCCAAGGCAGACGAAATCCTGGGCAACTTCAATCTTTTCTCCGTTTTTCAGGATGTTACCTACTGGTCCAGTTTTAAGGCTTTTGGTCTTCTGTATGTTGAGTTGTAGCCTATACTGCAGGCTGCAATCCTTGGTCTTCATCAGCAAGTGCTTCAAGAGCTCCTCCCTGTCAGCCAGCAAGGTTGTGTCATCTGCATAACGTAGGTTGGTGATAAGCCTTCCTCTAATTTGATGCCACACTCTTCTTCTTATAATCCAGCTTCTCTGTTTGCTCAGAGTGAATAAGTATGGTGAGAGGACACAAACCTGACACATGCCTTTCCTGACTTTAAACTGCACAGAATCCCCTTGTCCTTTTTCGCATTACTCCCTCTTGACCCATGTATAAGTTCCGCATAAACACAATGAACTGCTCTGAAATTCCCATTCTTCTCAAGATTATCCATAATTTGTTATGATGCACACAAATCAAATGCCTTGGCCTAGTGAATAAAACACAAGTTATTGTCTTTCTGGTATTCTCTGCTTTCAGCCAAGATCCACCTGGCATGAGCAATGAGATCCCTGTTCCACTCTCTTCTGAATCCGGCCTGGATTTCTTGCAGCCCCCTGTCAATGTATTGATACAACCATTGTTGAATGATTTTCAGCAAAATTTTACTTGCATGTGATATTGTTCTATAATTTGAGCATTCCGTTGGGTCACCTTTCTTTGGAATGGGGACAAATAGGGATCTCTTCCAGTCAGTTGGTCAAGTAACCGTGTTCCAAATTTCCTTGCATAGATGAGTAAGTGCATCCAATACTTACTCAGCTTGTTGAAACATCAACTCCTAAACCTTGTTTTTCACCTACTGCATGCATTCAGCGCAGCTTGACCACCTTCTTTCAGCACCATTGGTTCTTGCTCATATGCTTCCTCCTGAAATGGTGGAATTTCTAACAGTTCTTTTTGGTACAGTGACTTTGTATTCTTTCCATTCTCTTTTGATGTTTCCTGCAGCATTTAATACTTTCCTCATAGATTCCTTCAATATTACAACTTGGGGCTTGAATTTTTTTTCTTGAGTTCTTTCAGTATAATGTATGCTGTGTTCTTTCTTCCCTTTCGGTTTTCTAATTCTAGGTTTTTGCACACTTTGCTATAATGTTTGGTTCTGTCTTCTCTAGCTGCCCTTTGAAATCCTCTAATCAGATCTTTGACTTCATCGTTTCTTCCATTTGCTTTAGCTACTCTACAAGTAAGAGCGAGTTTCAGAGTCTCTTCTGACATCCACTTTTTTTTTATTATAATTAATAAAATTTTCTATTTATTCCATTAAACACTTGGAAGTTCTGACATCCACTTTTATCTCTTCTTTCTTTCCTGTCTTTTTAGTGGCTTTTTACCTTCTTCATAAATGATGTTCTTACTGTCCTCCCCCAGCTCACCAGGTCTTCTGTCCTTACTGTTCCATGCAACAAACTTGTTCTTGAGATAGTCTTGAAATTCAGGCGGAATAAACTCAAGGTGGTATTTTTGGCTCCTGTTGTATTTTGGACTTGTTTTCATTTTCTTCGGCTTTGTCTTGAACTTGCATGCGAGCAATTGATGGTCTTTTCCACAGTCAACCCCTGGCCTGGTTTCAGCTGCTAATATTAAGCTTCTCCAGTGTTTCCTTCCACAGATGTTGTCAGTTTGGTTTCTTTGTATTCCATCGGGAGAAATCCACGTGTATAGTTGTTGAAAACAGGTATTTGCTATGAGCACCCTGGTGAGTTTAGCTTTAAGATTAGAAGTGTAATGGATTTATACAATGAATATTATAAAATATTGATGAGAGGGACTAAAGAAGACTTACATAAATGTAAACATGTTCTGTGTCGGGGGGTTGGAAGACTGATTATTATTAAGATGTCAATACTAACCAAAGTTCTCCGTACATTCAACACAATCCCAACCAAATTCCAACAGCTTCCTTTACAGAAATGAAAACACAGTCCTCAACATTTCTGTGGGATGGTAAGTCCCGGAGAACGAAAGCAGTGGTGGAGAAAAAGAGCAAGTGGGATGTCTCACACTTTCTCATTTGAAAACTGATGTAGAGTAGTAAAAATAGCTGGTGCTACCGTCACCACAGAGACGTAGACCTGGCATACCAATAGACAGACTCACCGACCATTGTAGTATCCAATTGATAGTCCAGAAACAAGCCCACAACATGGTCAACTGATTCTGTACAAGGTGCTGAGACCATTTGATGGGGAAGGAAGAGTCTTTAATCGATGGTGCTGGGGAAATCGGGTTCCCACATGCATAAAAATGAAGCAAGATTCTTGCCATATGCAAAAACAAATTCAAAATTGAGTAAGAATCTACATGGGCCAACTAAAACCGTAAGTTTTGGGGGGAAGTAAACATGCAGGGTCAATGCTGCCAGGCTAGCTTTTACCAGTAGATTAGCTAATGTACTAGCAAAAGCATAAATAGTGAAAGAATTGATATGTCAACAAAAATGGCTAACTTTTGTTCAAAAAATTGTACCTAAAAAGTGTCAAGAGAAGTCATAGTCTCTGAGACTATAAACCATATTTTAAAATAATCTAATACCGAAATATATGTAAAACTTTTAAAGTTAAAAACAAAAAGACAACCCAGTCATAAGATGAGCAGAGGACTTAAAGAGCATTTCACCAAAGGGGAAATCCAGATAGACATCAGACACGTGAAAAGATGCTTAATAGTATTAGCCATCACAGAGATGCAGTCAAAATCACAATGCAACGCATTTTCCTTCTACTAGGATGGCTTTCTTGTTGCATTTAAGCTTCATCAAGGTGGTTCCAACTTACAGTGACCTCATTATAAAACTCAAAGAAAACAAAACAATACAATTGTTTGATTCAAATTTATAGTGACTTGAGAGGACAGGATAGAACTGCCCCTATGGATTTCTGGGACTGTAACTCTGCAGGGGAATAGAAAGTCTCATCTCTCTCCCCCAGAGCAGCTAGTGGTTTTGAAGTGCTGACCTTGTGATTAGCAGCCTAACATGAAACCTACGACACAACCAGAAGTCCTAGGTGTTTAGATAAATTGGGCAATTTTGCTATCCAAATTGCACAATTTTGAAGAATTCAGTCAGTTTTGATAAATAAATTCCACAGATCAGATTAAGAACTACATAGTAGGACAAATCAGTAATTATTTCAATTTCAGGACAATGTTGTATGAAATTCTTCCTGACCACAGAAGTGGGGTCAGTTCCATTCCAGCCCCTTTCAGATGGCAACGCCAGTAAGATTGGGTATAAGAACCGGAAGAGTCTCTCACATTTGGAACAATTTTGACAACTGAGTTGAAATGTTATCTCAATTTTCAATTCATATATTAACTGAATGCCAACAAGTTTTTGAAATAAACAACAAAAAAGAAAACCTTAGGGAGAACAGGTCTATTCTTACACAAATGGGGTCTCAGATGTTAAAATAGACCCCACAGCAACTGGGACAATATATTTTAATATTTGAGAGGAGAAACATAGCTTAAAGATTTGTAATTTCCCAGAAGCCCTAGAATCATTTATGAAGATGAGACTTGTAAATAAGATCTTAAAGTAAGGATGACTAGTTGTATCCAATGTAGTTTGCATTTTAAAAACTTAGATATAAGTGATTTTAAAAATGGCAAAATTCTCAAAATGATCAGAACTTTGCTTGTTTCTTTTATCTTTAATTTTATGGCCATATGTAAATCATATATGAAGTTTGCTAGAGCCTTTAGGCCCACCACACACTGTACCATTTTATCATTTATCAGTGAAGTCTTGCTTGCCTAAGAATAAAATTTTTGAACTACCTATAGGATGCCAATACGGTCAAGAATCCTAAATATGTTTACCTACTTTCTATAATTATTATATTATTTTACTTAGGCAGTCATTTTTAATTTATATTCACTTCTGGGAATTGTCCTATATTTGATTACTTGATTATTATTTATTAAAATGTGCAGTATAACTGCGCTTAATTGATGGAATATATACTTTACCACAAGTTGATAAATGCAAAGTACACAATTCTGAAATACTCAGTTAGGTCCTGCTCTTACGTAGACCCTCTCCCATTGATTTCTTGACTTTTTCTTCAATTATTTTTACATAGAACACATTTCATCCTAAGCATTTCAATTTTGCCTGGCTTCAGTGGTGTATTAGCCAGCCCTATTAAATGTGTATTATCAAACCTCTCCCCACTGTTTTTTAAATGGGGAATTTCAAAGTTACACAGAAGTCTAAGCTTAAAGATAGCCATCATTAAGTTCAATTATCACTTCTATTATCACACTCTTGTTTCATCTGCTCCCTCATCCACATTGTTTTATTTATTTATTTATTTATTTATGGGGTATTTTAAAACAAGTCCCAGGTCCCCATCAATGTCACCCATATATATATCAGTGTTTCTAACAAATGTGATCACTATTTATTTCAATTCATACATCAGGCCAGTCACTGTACAAGGTGCTAACGACGCACAGTGGATAAGGCTTGTGTCCTGCCTTTGAAGCTGCCCGCAGTGCCATCCATACGTTCATCCAAGTCATTAAGAAGAGGGTTAAACAGGTCAGAAGGGTCCCGGTTGGAGCCCCATCAGCCAGACCCTGAAACCTTCATCCAGCAAAGAATGGCATCCTAAGACTGTAGAAGCTGACTTGAAAACAAGTCCTGGGTGAGAGAAACTAGCAAGCTAAGGGAAAACCAAAGGCATAACCAGTTAGTCAGCAAGAGACAGAGGTGTCAGCAAAATAAATGGATCAGCAAGCAGATAAGAATGAATGGACGGATGAATAAATTCATAGACAAATGACATTCTTTTATTCAAGTATAGAATGCAGCTTTCCTAAGGCCTGATGTACTTCTGGAACAAAATATGAATCACACCATAATACTATGATTTAACCCTCTGTCAATTCCTTATATCAGAAATTTCCTGTGATTTTTTTCTTTTTCCATGTATTCTGAATAGCCATAATACAGTTCTCACACTTAAAAGATATTCTTAGAATACAATTCTAAGAATATTGTTCATTCATTGATTAATGTATCTACTCACTCAACAGATACAGTAGCATAGAATGTCAAATAGAAATCGGTGTTATCATGCAAAATACAGCAGAATAGGCCCCCTCCTCTGCGTAGGATGGTTATATTACTCTTAAATGTGCACAGATGGTCCAATGGCACAATCTTTAGGTAATTACTAAGAAGAGCAAAATGAACACTATACTAATTGAAGAAATGTTAAGAAAATTTACTTTAAAGCAGTGTTAAGCTTGGTGGTTATCTGCAAGAGAGTCTTTTCTTTGCCATCCTGTTTCTTGTCTTTCCCCACATTCTGTTCCTCCAGCTTGGCTAGGTGGTTACGGTGGTAATGGGGGTGGTGGCGGTAGTGGTGGTGGAGCTGGTGGTAGGGATGTTGATGGAGGTAGTGGTGATAGTGCTGGTTGAAGCAGAGCTCAGTCCAGTGGTGGCAACAGTGGTGGTGGGACCACTGAGTGAAGAAGGTAGAATGTTCACTACCTCAACTGGAACTTCACTTAAAATGCCCTTTATGATTCTGCAAGACTGTGAAGCAATCATGTAGCAAGTTTTGTTAAGCAACAAACGTACTATTGGAATTTCTGAAAGAAGGCCAAGGCATTAATTATACTGTGTAATATCTGCTCCTATGAAAAAAATGCAACTTAGAAAGCTCTATGCGGCAGTTCTACTCTGTCAAATGGGATCACTAAGAGTCAAAATTGACTTCAGAGCTCCAGCCACATAATAGCATACCTGTGTGACAGGAAAATATATGACTGGAGATTATCAAATAACTCAAGAAATAAGTGGTAATACTTTCTTTTTTTTAAAAGTTTTATCTATATATAATTCACATACAATGCAGTCAGTCAATCACATCAAGAAGAGTTGCACCATTATCACCACAATCGGTTTTAGAACATTTTTTTTCATTCTTTCACTCATCATGATGAGCTCCCTACTTCCTCTCAACCGCCCCTGCCACTCCCCACCCCTACCCCAGGAACCTTTAATCCAGTTACTGTCTCTGTTGGCTTACCAATCTTGTATTTCATATTCAGAAAAAAACATTTTTAAACCCCCAAGCAAAAACTAACAATAACAAAGTAAAACAGAAAAACAAAAAATATTGAAATCTAGGACAAAATGAAAATGGATCATAAAGGAGACCAAATGATAAGGTGCTAAATTTTAACTTGTCTGCATCTGTAATAACCCACTTTCCAGTGTATTCTGTATGATGGCAACACTATTCACATCCCTGGTCAGATGGGAGATGTGAATCAGAGACTTAATCCCCTTCATTTTTTTAAAAAACGGAAATAACTTTAACATGGGTCAAAGGGAGATTAATTGACTGTACAATGCTCTACGTTTAATAACAAAGCTTTTCACACCCCTCATCTGTGCTCAGAGTGAATATCCCAGAGGCGTGATCCATGTGTGGACCCTGCAAATGGATTTGGGGCTTCCACTGTCCTCCATAAACTTTTGCAATCCAGGTGTTCACAGTTTAATTTCTGATACAATTCCCACCTTCGGATTTGGATTTATTATTTACAATCCTTGGATTACACAGGTTGGTGTGCTTCTTCCATGTGGACTTATTTGATGCCTCACTTAGATGGCTGCTGGTTTTAGGACATTCCTTTTAAAGACCCCAGACACTATTCCTTCTGATAGCAGGGCACCGTCTATAGTTTCTTCACCATACTTTGCTATAGCGCCCTTATCTTCATGAGGGTGAGCATAAAGCAAGGGCATGTTATAGGAACTAATTATTCTTAGATTTGGGCTAGAATTAAGTACAAGTCCCAAATCCATTCTTATATGTATGGTTTATATATGTACCTAGTTCACTTTCAAAATGTGGGGTCTCTAGGTGATGCATACTCAGCTGCTAGAAGTTCAAGTCCACCCAGAAATGACTTCAAGAAAGTTCTGTGCTCTAATTTCAAAAATTAGCCATTGAAACCTGATCCGACCCAGTTCTGCTCTACCACTCAGGGCCCATCATGAGTCAGAATCAACTCAATGGCAATTGGTTACGTCCTTCCTACACAGACCAGTTGCCTCCCACCAGGATAGGGCACTTTGGATGGCTTTTTTTTTTCTTTTTTTTAATCATTTTATTAGGGGCTCATACAACTCTTATCACAATCCATACATACATCAATTGTGTAAAGCGCATTTGTACATTCATTGCCCTGGATGACTTTTCAAAGACAAGCCTTCCTATCTGCCCCAAGGAGCCTGCCCACCCCACTCCCTATGCTATATCCTAAGTCATTGTCTGAAGATTATACTTGTTAGACTCATTTTTCATTCTTGACCCTGACCAATATCTTCAGTTCCCTTGATCCTAGATCCACAACTGCATACTACTTCCTTTCCCCAGACTGGACTAGGCCAAGAGACCTAGAGCAATTGGCCCACTGAAGAAGTTGGACAAGCCCAACTGTCAGCTAGACATTTCCATGGGGATGTATCACATTGACACAAAGTCAGATTGGAACTCAACATCTTTCCTTCAAAGTCTCAATACCCATTTATAAACTATCAAGGGCTCATGAGGGAGGGGGGAGCGGGGAGGGAGGGGAAAAATGAGGACCTAATGTCGGGGGTTTAAGTGGAGAGAAAATGTTTTGAGAACAGATGTACAAATGCGCTTTACACAGTTGACGTGTGTATGGATTGGGATAACAGTTGTATGAGCCCCTAATAAAATGTTAAAAAAATAAAAATAAATAAAAAATAAATAAAAGAAAACAACAACAACAACAACAAAAAAACCCACAAAGTCTTCACCTTCTACTAGCAACTTGGTTACGTTGGAAACTGCTGCCCAGAATCCCCTCTTCTGCATGGAATGTCCTTTGGGGTCTTCTTGGCAAGGCTGAAAGCTTTGTCATATTGTCCCAGCAGGGCAGAGGGCAGGCCAAGGGGTTGAGGACCAGAGAGAGGCCTGCTTGAGGGCACAATAGAGAGAAGGCTATCCTGACTAAAGAACTGTGTCTTGAACATTTCTTATCCTGACTTTAGAACCTGTTAGCTTCTGTGGGTCCTGTATGGCTACGGCAATGAATGCTCAAAGCCAGGAGAGGAGTACAGAGTTCTGTGCATGGGGCGACAGTGACCAGAATTGGTAAGACATTTGGAGGATGGAAGCAGGTTCTCAGGCTGCCGATGATGGTGCTTGCTCTACTTCCCCGCTTTCGAAATCGGAGGAGGTCGGACACCGCCTCATGGCATTCTTAGACCACTGGACTCTGAACGTTGTTCTGATTCGATGAGAGGACCCACAGATGCAGAGGTGCCTCGGGTTCCAGTTTATCCATATTCCTCTCTATTCTGCTTCTAGCTCTTTGTCCAGATGCTGGGCCCTGTACCAACAGCAGACCCAGGGTCACCGTCAGACACCTTCCTGTTTACGCACAGAGCCATGGCCTCCTTTAGACCTCTCGTTAGCCTTCTGGAGCTTCCAATTCAGCAGCAGGATGTGCTTTGCTTCCCACACTGACTGGATGGTGACTTCTTTGATCTTCTACTTCCCCTTCCGAGTCTTGTATTGCCCATCTTCTCCCACAAATTGGACTTTATTTTAAAAAGAAATCTTCTGTCCAATAATCCCTCGAGTTCTGCTTTCCTGATTGAGCTCTGACTGATAGAAGCACTGCCACCATTCTGCCCTTCCTTCCCCGACATCAGGACCTCATGACCCTCTCCTTCAGCCCCTCTCCTCCTCTCCATCCCTATTGCTCCCATGCTGTTCCGTTCACCGACATCTCTTGCCTCGAGGATGGTGCTGGCCCGCTAACCAGGCTGCACACTTCCAGTTTCATCCTTCTTACTGGATTTTCTTTTCTTTTAAAAAGCACAGGCCTTTTCCTGGCTTTCCCTTGTTTGGGAGATCAACTCTTAAATACATTTGGCAAAGCCCACCCGGTTACCTCCTGCTAACTTCTCTAATTTCATCTCTCTGCATTGTGTCCTCACCTCCTGCCAATATTTTCATTATTTCCTAGGAAATGGTACTCGACTGCTTTGATCCTCATTTCTTTGAAGATCACTCCATGCGTGTTATGTGCAGATACAGCATTTTCATTTCTGGCAATAGCAGCGTCCCTAGGATACCATCAGTCTGAGAAGGAGTGAGATGAACCCTTTCAAGCAAGTCATGTTTCTGGCCCGTTCCAGTTCCCTGGGGTAGGTCAAGCATCTTGAAGTGTGGCTGTGGTCCTCATATCTCACTTTCCCTTCAGACGTCCAGCGTGCTGGGGGCAGTACCCACGTGGAAAGGTACTTGGCAAAAGCAATGGGCTACTCAAAGTCAACGTTTTCCCAGAGAGGCAAATAGAAGGAAAACATAGTCCCAACATTTTTCCCAAGGAAGTAGCAGGGCGCCTCTCTGACACGGGTCCTCGGCAGCTGGTTTTCTCTCCAATTATGTTTGATGCCATTTCATTCATTGTATTTACACAAGCTGGAGTGACACAGGGGCTACAACATGGACCTCAAACGTGACCATTGTGAGGATGGTGCAGGACTGGGCAGTGTTTCCTTCTGTTACACATGACGGTCTCTATGAATTGGAACTGACTTGATGGTACCTAACAACAACATCGTCTGTTCAGTAATTAATTTATTTGTCTTAACCATGTTATTAAATGGATCAAGACATTTACTTCTTTAATGAAAACATTTTTCGAATGGTACAGAAGTAGGTAGAGGAAAAGTCCAAGGTCTCTCCTCCACTGCCATAGGTTAGGTCTGCCTTGTCCCAGATGGTGTATTTTTTTCTTATATGGGTGAAAACACAGGCACAATCCATTTGAAAATGTAAGCCTAATTTGTGTTCAGTCAAATGCATGAACATTGCATGTACACCTTGAAGTTTGATAGAAGAATACACCTACCTACTCCATCAAGTCACATTTCAACAATGAGCTGGTTGAACAATGATAAAACAATGTAACTGTTTATTTGCACTTGTCTGAAATTTTTCAAGCCAGCATCTATTAATTGATTGCATTCTTTTTAATGGCTGCATTCTCATATTCCGTAGTAATGTAAAGATACCGCATAGCATGCTTAACCGTTATTTATATAATATGGGCTGAAATTAAATTTATTTTGCGATAAACACATATACACATATGCTGTCCTTTTTAGGAACTTGTTGAATGCCCAAACCCTGAGTGGCAGGAGCAGGAGAAGGGAGCAGCCTGTCTGGGCTCGAATCGCAGTTTGCTGCTAACTTCTCTTCTCAGTGGCATAGAGCAGCAAGAGACAAGTAATTTAACCTGTTTTGTTAGCTATGAAGCAGCGATCATTATAGGAACCTTGCTGAACTGGTGTGAAAATGAGACTGTCTCTCAAAGACTGAAAAGCTGGGCACAGTGTACGGAACAGTGGCTGAATAAATAATAATAATAATTTTATTATTTATTCCTGTCTTACCTTCCTACT